CGGACTTTTATGTTTTCACTCAAAAAATCGAATTTCAGTGGGAAATAAAAGTGATCACAGATTTCACTTGTTTTTGCTGTATCTCTTATAGTTCTCGAGAAAAACGCACTTTTATGTTTTCACTCAAAAAATCGATTTTCAGTGGGAAATAAAAATGATCACAGATTTCACTTGTTTTTGCTGTATCTCTTATAGTTCTCGAGAAAAACGCACTTTTATGTTTTCACTCAAAACGGACTTTTATGTTTTCACTCAAAAAATCGAATTTCAGTAGGAAATAAAAGTGATCACAGATTTCACTTGTTTTTGCTGTATCTCTTATAGTTCTCGAGAAAAACGCACTTTTATGTTTTCACTCAAAAAATCGAATTTCAGTGGGAAATAAAAGTGATCACAGATTTCATTTGTTTTTGCTGTATCTCTTATAGTTTTCGAGAAAAACGGACTTTTATGTTTTGACTCAAAAAATCGATTTTTAGTGGGAAATAAAAGTGATCACAGATTTCACTTGTTTTTGCTGTATCTCTTATAGTTTTCGAGAAAAATGGACTTTTATGTTTTCACTCAAAAAATCGATTTTCAGTGGGAAATAAAAGTGATCACAGATTTCACTTGTTTTTGCTGTATCTCTTATAGTTTTCGAGAAAAACGGACTTTTATGTTTTCACTCAAAAAATCGAATTTCAGTGGGAAATAAAAGTGATCACAGATTTCACTTGTTTTTGCTGTATCTCTTATAGTTTTCGAGAAAAACGCACTTTTATGTTTTCACTCAAAAAATCGATTTTTAGTGGGAAATAAAAGTGATCACAGATTTCACTTGTTTTTGCTGTATCTCTTATAGTTTTCGAGAAAAACGGACTTTTAGCTTTCACTCAAAAAAGTGATCACAGATTTCACTTGTTTTTGCTGTATCTCTTATAGTTTTCGAGAAAAACGGACTTTTATGTTTTGACTCAAAAAAATTGATTTTCAGTGGGAAATAAAAGTGATCACAGATTTCACTTGTTTTTGCTGTATCTTTTATAGTTTTCGAGAAAAACGGACTTTTAGTTTTCACTCAAAAAATCGATTTTCAGTGGGAAATGAAAGTGATCACAGATTTCACTTGTTTTTGCTGTATCTCTTATAGTTCTGGAGAAAAACGCACTTTTATGTTTTCACTCAAAAAATCGAATTTCAGTGGGAAATGAAAGTGATCACAGATTTCACTTGTTTTTGCTGTATCTCTTGTAGTTTTCGAGAAAAACGGACTTTTATGTTTTCACTCAAAAAGTCGATTTTCTGTGGGAAATAAAAGTGATCACAGATTTCACTTGGTTTTGCTGTATCTCTTATAGTTCTCGAGAAAAACGCACTTTAATGTTTTCACTCAAAAAATCGATTTTCAGTGGGAAATGAAAGTGATCACAGATTTCACTTGTTTTTGCTGTATCTCTTATAGTTCTCGAGAAAAACGCACTTTTATGTTTTCACTCAAAAAATGGATTTTCAGTAGGAAATAAAAGTGATCACAGATTTCACTTGTTTTTGCTGTATCTCTTATAGTTCTCGAGAAAAACGCACTTTTATGTTTTCACTCAAAAAATGGATTTTCAGTGGGAAATAAAAGTGATCACAGATTTCACTTGTTTTTGCTGTATCTCTTACAGTTTTCGAGAAAAACGGACTTTTATGTTTTTAATTTAAAAAAAACGATTTTCAGTGGGAAATAAAAGTGATCACAGATTTCACTTGTTTTTGCTGTATCTCTTATAGTTTTCGGGTAAAACGGACTTTTATGTTTTCACTCAAAAAATGGATTTTCAGTAGGAAATAAAAGTGATCACAGATTTCACTTGTTTTTGCTGTATCTCTTATAGTTTTCGAGAAAAAAGCACTTTTATGTTTTCACTCAAAAAACCGATTTTCAGTGATGTTTTCACTCAAAAAATCGATTTTCAGGGGGAAATAAAAGTGATCACAAATTTCACTTGTTTTTGCTGTATCTCTTATAGTTTTCGAGAAAAACGCACTTTTATGTTTTCAATCAAAAAATCTATTTTCAGTGGGAAATAAAAGTGATCGCAGATTTCACTTGTTTTTGCTGTATCTCTTATAGTTTTCGAGAAAAACGCACTTTTATGTTTTCACTCAAAAAATCGATTTTTAGTGGGAAATGAAAGTGATCACAGATTTCACTTATTTTTGCTGTATCTCTTATAGTTTTCGATTTTCAGTGGGAAATAAAAGTGATCACATATTTCACTTGTTTTTGCTGTATCTCTTATAGTTCTCGAGAAAAACGCACTTTTATGTTTTCACTCAAAAAATCGATTTTCAGTAGGAAATGAAAGTGATCACAGATTTCACTTATTTTTGCTGTATCTCTTATAGTTTTCGATTTTCAGTGGGAAATAAAAGTGATCACATATTTCAGTTGTTTTTGCTGTATCTCTTATAGTTTTCGAGAAAAACGGACTTTTATGTTCTCATTCAAAAAATCTATTTTCAGTGGGAAATAAAAGTGATCACAGATTTCACTTGTTTTTGCTGTATCTCTTATAGTTTTCGAGAAAAACGCACTTTTATGTTTTCACTCAAAAAATCGATTTTTAGTGGGAAATAAAGTGATCACAGATTTCACTTATTTTTGCTGTATCTCTTATAGTTTTCGATTTTCAGTGGGAAATAAAAGTGATTACAGATTTCACTTGTTTTTGCTGTATCTCTTATAGTTCTCGAGAAAAACGCACTTTTATGTTTTCACTCAAAAAATCGATTTTCAGTGGGAAATAAAAATGATCACAGATTTCACTTGTTTTTGCTGTATCTCTTACAGTTCTCGAGAAAAACGCACTTTTATGTTTTCACTCAAAAAATCGAATTCAGTGGGAAATAAAAGTGATCACAGATTTCACTTGTTTTTGCTGTATCTCTTATAGTTTTCGAGAAAAACGCACTTTTATGTTTTCACTCAAAAAATCGATTTTTAGTGGGAAATAAAGTGATCACAGATTTCACTTATTTTTGCTGTATCTCTTATAGTTTTCGATTTTCAGTGGGAAATAAAAGTGATTACAGATTTCACTTGTTTTTGCTGTATCTCTTATAGTTTTCGAGAAAAACAGACTTTTATGTTCTCATTCAAAAAATCCGTTTTTAGTGGGAAATGAAAGTGATCACAGATTTTAAGCCTTTAGTTAGCCAAGAAATTATTAAATGATTAAAAAAATCAAATTTTGGTGTGAAATGAAAATTATGAGATTTTAATATATTTATTATAAACACATTGATGTCCACGGCAATATATGCAGAAGTGTTTATATTTTTGAAATAATGCGAATTGCTGGAATGTTTTAAATTTTGTAATGTCTTTTCTGAAGATGTTATTTCTATTATCTCTATTATGAAGACTAGTGTCAGAACGGACCAAACCGTTTAAAAATTGTGGTTTTTATACAAATATTCCTAAAAATAATTAATTGTTAGTAATTACTATTTTCAGCTTCCAATCGTGAAACAAAAAGTAATGAAAAGTGTGCTTTTAAAATGTGTCGTCCTAACGGTTATTTTAAACATTAAACAGTTGTTATGGTTTGGCACTTTGCTAAATAATACATAAATATACTGCACATAATATCGATAAAGCAGTGCATGGCAATTTGTTGAACAATGTATTTTAATAAATTTCCTTACAGTACCGAATGTTATTAAGCTGACACATCAATAAGGTGGGCCTTTTTTTAACAAACATTAAAAAGCTTTCAATTAAAAAAATAACTGCAAGTTTTCTTTCAAGTTCTTTAAGTAAGCGGCCAATTAAGTTTAAAATGCAAATAAGTATCCAATTGAAAAATCTGTGAACATATATAATCTTTTTCATTTTCGATTCAAAATTTATTTATTTATACCCCAGATTTTTTACTTTTTATTAAATCTTACAGCCTTATTCATAAACTTTTATCAAAGGTTTATAAATCAAATTTTCATACAAAATTTGTTCTATAAACCTTTGATAAATGTTTGTGAATAAGGCCTTTATAGTAAAAGGGTTTCCAGAGGATAGATAAAAGCCGATGTCGAAAATCTATATTTTCTTATAACCAGTGTGGGGTATCATATGGTAAACTGTATGATTAGTTGTTTTTTATTAAAACTTCATTATAATTGTAATTTTACTTAAAAAAAATTTACAATTATTTATCGTTTAAGTAAATATAACATTTAACAATAATAACACGTTTTGCGTTTTCATATAAATAAATGTTCATTTAAATTAAATTTAAATAATTGTTACAATTTCTTCACATTTTTATACGTGTCTATTAATTACAAAAAATAAATTAAATTTCTATATTATCTGCTGCTGGAACCACATGTTTGATATTGGTAATATTATAACTATGATGAAACACTAGATAACAAAAAATTTTCAAAATTTAATTATGTTGAGGAAAAAACTTTATGTTTTCTTGAAATCCTAAAGAAATGAGGAATTCTTCTAAAAGTCACTCTATTGTTAATTTAAATAATTATGGAAATCTGATTTTACAACTTAATTTATGTAGCACAGTGTATATGAATTCAATTATTATTATAATTGAAACGGTAAGACCCCCAGCAAAAGATATAGATACAAACAAACTATATACAAAGCAAATGTGTGTAAAATGAGTTATGAATACATCTATCCTTCTTTTAACGTTATGAATATATTATTGAAGAAAAAAATATTTAGAATTTAGAAAAATGTATATCGAAGATCGTGAAATTTTATATTTATATTTTATCTTTATAATATTGAATAATAAAATAAATCTTGTAAATTGAGTTATAGGTGTTTAAGAATCAAATACAAACAAAACAAAAACATATAACAACAAATAACATTAGAAAACTGCAGGCGATAAGATTATGAATGACAAACCAAAATATTCAATATTAAATTTCGCAAAAAAATTCTTTTATTTATTTCACAAAACAAATACTTTTAACTCTCGCTTTTTTATTTCAGTTGCACTTTAATTTTCGAACGGAATTGTTTTATAAAGAAAAACGTTCTTAACTTCAAACTGAAAATAGAGTGTAAAAATTAAATATATTCTTTATATGTTAAAACTTTTAAAAACTTATTTACAAGTTAATAAAGTGAGTTTAAAAAATATTAAAAAATATACAATTTAAAATTAAAGTGAAAATTTTTTATAAACGTAAAATCAAAGATTTGTCTACGAATAAAACCTTTAATCTTTTGTATCTTTTATTTATTTTAAATTCTTATCTAATCTTGTTAAGATTTAAAAGTACTTTGTTTTTTATTAAATACTAGTTGTAGACTTTTGAAAAACAAAGCAGAAAGAAATAAATAAACATATAGCTCATTTCCTGCTAAAAGGTTATATATCAAAAATATAGTTTCAAATTAAACGGTATTAAAAATTGTATAACATTTTGATATTATTCAAATCATTATATTTGCAACAAATCGTTATATCGTTTCTTCTAAAATAAAAGACAACTTACCGTCCATCTGTCCACTATGAAATGACCTAGTGTAGAGGATCTAAGTGAAAGGAATTGACATTTCTTAAAAAATAAGTATATTTTCGTGTACAGCCATATAGAGCTATAAAAACTCTGAAGAGAAATAGATTAAAATTTCTTATTCACGTGCATGACTTGTCAAATTTTACAATTTAAACGTGAATAATTTAAACTCGTTTTTTAGTTAAAAATACAATAAAAAAACACTGATAAGAAGTTATAAAGTATTTCTAAAAAATATTTGTTTGTTGAATTTAAAAATAAGTAATATAATCTTATCAATACTAACATCTAAATTTTGTATTTGTTTTGCCAAAAACAGGGAAATTTTTGAGTTCATTGACAAAAATCTAAATATGCACATATATTCAGACTCTACAGATCGTCTATTTGATAATCTTAGGTTGCTTGACATAAATTTAAAAATATTTACAGTCAAACTCGTTTATAACGGAAAAAGTAGTGCGTTTTATACGAGGATTCGTAATAACCGAGTTCGTTATAAGATATGTTTTTTGTATGAAAATAGTTACCAAAATAGCGGGACTTGAAAACTTGTTCGTAATAACCGAGAATTCGTTATAAGCGAGTTTGACTGTATTTATTGATAGAATTTGGGTTTTTTTGTGAACTTTGATCTATATTTTGCTTTTACAATAATGTATTGATTCTAGAAATACACGAATGATGATGTAATTTTGGAAAAAAGGGTTTTTCTGTAATTTCTAAACTGCTGATAAGAAAATTATAAAATGAGTTGTCGAGTTAAGTGTCTAATATGAATCATAAGTACATTTTTAATATACCCTCAGATATCGTTAACCTGAAATGCAATATAACATTTGAATAATCTCAAAAAAAAAGTCGACAATTGATTCACTATCTTCTTACAAAATTTTATGAGTCTACGCTAAAAAATAATGATTTTATAATAAAAAAAAAATTCCAATTAACGTAAATCACATCACTTTTTCGAGATATCATATCACTAAGGTTTTGGCCATACTTAAAACGTTATAACAGCGCGAAGTCAACTTAATTTACGAAATATGTTATGTCATCTGAAAGTCTAATCTTTTAAAATAAAGGTTTAACCTGTTACATTTTCTTTTAATTTCGAGATATCAAAAAGATCATAATTATACTTGTTTTTCAGTCAGTTGTGAAGATTAAAGCCATTGTCTGAACTGGTATAATATAACACGATGTCAGTCATACTTTAAAATATTATTTTTAGGCACAAAAAACAAATTTGTACAAAATTTCATAACGATTTCTGTCTAAACAACATAGTTAAGACTTATTTCACTGTGGTCTTTTTCATCCACTGGGTAGACTTGAGACAGTCTGTATCTTGCGCACAAGGTTTACATGGACAGCCAGCCAGACGGATGGACATAGCTTAATCGACTCAGAAAACGATTCTAAGCCGATTGGTATACTTTAAAGTGGGTATAGGACGAATATTTTTATATGTTACAAACATCAGCACAAACCCAATATATTGGTTAAAACTCCCAATTTTCGGGGTATATTAAAATTTTGAATATGATGTTGTGAACTACTTTACTAGATCTACACTAGATTACGTGGAGACTATATTCACTTTTTGTTAATTTTGTCACGCAGTGTAATTAATCGTCTACAAATATATAAAATCATTTTTATTTCTAATTCAAGACTATGACTCCTCGAAATATTTTAACACTTTCTAGCGAAGAAAAACGTAAATTTTTGGATTCATTTGATCATGTATTCTCCGATATTGATGGTAAGTGAAAAATTTCACAATTTATTATAACATTTTACAACAATTTTATTGCTAAATATTTTAGGTGTTGTTTGGAATATGTCACATATCATTGAAGGTTCAGCCGACGGATTTAATGCACTACGACAAGCTGGCAAACACCTAACCTTCATTACCAACAACAGTGTAAGACCCGAAGAGCAGTGTATACAAAAATTGATTAAAAAAAATATTGAGATAAAAGCGGTAAGTTTTTGAAATAAATCTATTGTTGAATATAATTAAATTTATTTTATTCCTAGGAAAATATCATGCATCCTGCCAAAAGTATAGTTGAGTATTTAAATAGCATTAAGTTTAAGGGACTAATTTATATTCTAGCATCAGAGGAATTTAAAAATGTATTAAAACGAGCTGGTTACGATTTATTGGAAGGGGTTAGTACTTAAGAAAATTTAAGTAGTAATTGTAAAAGTTTATATATATAATTTGTTCATTGCAGCCCAATGTTATTGTTAAGGAATCGTTTACTGAAGCCATTGGTCATGTCGTAGATAGTCAGCCAGTTAAAGCTGTGATTATAGATTTCGATTTTAATTTATCTTTTCTTAAATTAATGAAGGCCAATATGTATTTACGTCAACCTGACTGCCTGTTAATTGGAGGAGCCACTGATTTTGTTTTACCTGTTACCAAAGACTTATCTGTTATGGGTCCTGGACCGTTTGTCAAGATGTTGGAACAAACGAGCCGTAAGGAAATGTTAACATTTGGTAAACCTGGCAGAGCATTGGCTGAGGTATTAATGCAACGTTCCCATATACCCACATCAGATCGAGTTCTCATGATTGGTGATATGCTGGAACAGGACATACGTTTCGCCACATCATGTGGTTTTCAGTCGCTGTTAGTGCTCAGTGGTGGCACTTCCTATGAGGAGTTAATATCTCAAATAGATGAGAATGTTATACCAAATTATTATGCCCAAAGTGTTGCTGATTTTGTGGAATTTATGAAAGATGTAAATAAAAGTAATGTTTAAGTTTATTTATACATATTTAATTATCTTTAATATTTAATAATTTTTATAATAATAGTAAATTGTTCTCTTTCTTAATTCTTAAAAATTAAACTAAAAAAACTCATTTAAATCTGCTAGCTTTTCTAGTATATAATCGGGTTTATTTTCTTCAGTTAGTAAACTATTCAAATCTTCTGGTTTTGTTCCCCCCGTTAGCACTAATAAAGTTTGAAAGCCACACATTTTACCAAATTGTATATCACTCTTCAAACTATCGCCCAACATTAGCACTCTTTGCGGATTTTCAATGTTGAATGTCTTTAGCAATAGTTCTCCCAGTTCTACACCAGGTTTGCCAAATATTTTCGCTTTACATTGATTAGCTTCTTCGACGATTTTTATATAAGCCCCTGGTCCTATGAGTTCATTACCTCCAAACGGTATTTGTGGATCTGCAGCACCGGCTATAAATAAACATTGTGAATTTTTTAAATGTACTTGAGCTCTCATTAGCTTCCAGGCTGTTAAGTTAAAATCCACATCAATAATAACAGCATGTACTGGTTCTTGAGTGTATATAGCGTGATACAAATCGGAAAGTGAGCCATTTTTAATAAAACGTTCATCCTAGCGATGGGAAAAACATAAATTAAAACAAGTAAGAAATTATAGTCGGGCGAGGCCGACCATATAATACCCTACACCTGTTACAAAAATAAAATGTGATTTAGTTTCCATAATAAAGCATTTAAGTTGAATTGTACCTTGCCTCAGATATACTTAAAACATTTATTGTTGAATAAAATTGTGGACATTTAAGTCAAATTTTGAAGGGGACTTTGAATAGGGGCTATGGTAAAATGAGACCCTATAATTATAAAATTCATGAGGGTCATCAAGGCTAGTATAGTACTTGGTTTTGCAGCTTTTCGTCGAGATATGAGTATATTAAACATATTTATGAACTTAAAAGCTGTATTCGTCGGGTTCAGTTGTATGGGGCTAGGTGAAATAATGGACCGATGTTAACCATTTTCAATAGGCTTTGAAGATCATGTGCCAAATTTTATTGAATTATCTTCAAAATTGCGACCTCCAGTTTGATTACAAGGTTTACAAGCCCTATTCGGGGGTTCAGTTGTATGGGGGCTGGGAGAAATAATGGACCGATCTGAACAATTTTCACTAAGCTACGTCCCTGGGACAATAGAAGATCATGAACCAAATTTCATTGAATTATCTTCAAAATTGCGACCTGTATTTTTATTACAAGGTTTACATGGACAGACGGACGGACATAGCTAAATCTACTCAGAAAATGATTCTAAGCCGATTGGTATTCTTTAAGGTGGGTATAGGACCAATAATATTGTGCGTTACAAACATCAGCACAAACCCAATATACCCTCCCCACTAAAATGGTGTAGGGTATAAAAATGTCCAAAACAAAATGAAATAAAAGATTTTCTAATAAAAGCAGCTTATAATTTCTTCTTTGACTTTTTGAGGATATTTTCTGACTTCCTTATTTATTTTCAATTTCGATTGACTTTCGAGTAAGACTACGATTTCGACTTTAACGTACTTGTTTAACTTACTCGTCCTTTACATATTTTTTTACTTAATTGGCTTATTTAGCCCTTTAATGAATTTTTACAAAAATTCTCGATTTCCTATAAGTAGTTTAATAAAATTTTTCGATGACTTCATATTGTTCGGACCCAATATATTGATCGAACGCAACCGGGCTTTACATCAAAGCTATATTAACTTGCATACGTAATTCACTTATTAGAAAATCTTTTATAAATACTTAACAAACCTCTTCCACAATCAGAAATCCATTTTCACGCAAATGTTCTTTAAATACTCTGGAGGCGAAACACAATATAAGGCCTTCAAAATTTTCCATTTTCAAATAATCACAGATGGTTTTGGCGGGATGTATTAAATCACTCTGTAAAAAAAATTAAATGAAATTTGTCCTAAGATTAAATTCTTAGACACTTTGACCGATAAATGCAATTTTAACTAGAGGACAAATGTGTTAAGCCTTTATTTCATTAAAGTCAATTTTATAAAATTAAATATTTTATAAATATTCATATAATACTAAAAACAATAATATATAATACTAAAGAAATACATAACAAGGTTGATTTTGTTATCTATAATTATTTGCAATAAACCCATAATGGTAACACCGATTATTCCGAATACATTTTAATTAGAAATGTTACTCGAATAACCTCCAACCTACCTCTTCAATTTCCAAACCGCAGCTGGCAAATTTACTCAATTGATCTTTCGTTGAAATAATACTATTATTTGTAACAAAAGCTACATGTTTGCCAATATTACGTAAATATTTAACAGCATCCGATGAACCAGGTATTTCATCATAAAAATTTTGCCAAATAACACCTGAAATTTGTAAAATTAAATTAAAATAGTATAATTTTGATTTGACACACACACACTCGCACCATCACAATCACAAAATACCAAATCAAATGAATCGAGAAAATTTTGTTTTTCCTCTAGCGTTAAATTATTTAAAAAATCTGTTGACTTTAATTGACAAGACATATTGTTTCTTTGTATATTGTTATTTTATGTGAATTATTAACAGTTGAATTATTTAATTAAAATATTGAAAAAAATAGTTTTTGTTTTCACTTTGATTTAAAGGTTTAGAGGTTATTATGAGCTTAGTTCTCTATAGATGGGCGTCTGAAATGCAACTAAATTTTTTTTATTGAGTTTTGAGATTGTGTGTATTTTACTTCAATGTATGTATCAATTACTGCGAATGTTTGTAGTTTTCTCTGCCAGGTTTCACATAATAAATGGTGGAAAATATCTATAAACATATCTATTAGGATGGGCCAAAAAATTACCTCAAAATTAACTCCATTAAATTTTCCATCATTATCACTGGATTTTATACCACTGGCTTTAATAATAATATTGTCATATCATATATTTTTTTTACTTAGTTGAAACACAGAATTTTTAGAAACCTTACTAAATGTGACACCCTAATGTTTATTTATGTATGTGTATATATTCTTGAAGTATACTTATTCTTAAAACAATTGATATTTGTTTACATACAGTTTCAATAACTGAGACATAGAAAGAAGCATCTAAATTTATTTAGATTTTCTTGATGACATTAAGATGCCACAAGCATTTTAATTAATTGGTACAAGATTGATCGTTATCGCAATTTCAATTATGTAGTTAATTTTTACATATTAGTATGCAACAAATTGTTTAGACAAATTTAGCACGTGCTAATTTTACATTTAATTAGCTGGAGACTGGTCAGCTTATAATTAACCCGTTCAGTTCTAGTTCAGTTCTAGTTGAGTTCTAGTTCAGTTCTAGTTCAGTTCTAGTTCAGTTCTAGTTCAATTCTAGTTCAGTTCTAGTTCATTTCTAGTTCAGTTCTAGTTCAGTTCTAGTTCAGTTCTAGTTCAGTTCTAGTTCAGTTCTAGTTCAGTTCTAGTTCAGTTCTAGTTCAGTTCTAGTTCAGTTCTAGTTCAGTTCTAGTTCAGTTCTAGTTCAGTTCTAGTTCAGTTCTAGTTCAGTTCAGTTCTAGTTCAGTTCTAGTTCAGTTCTAGTTCAGTTCTAGTTCAGTTCTAGTTCAGTTCTAGTTCAGTTCTAGTTCAGTTCTAGTTCAGTTCTAGTTCAGTTCTAGTTCAGTTCTAGTTCAGTTCTAGTTCAGTTCTAGTTCAGTTCTAGTTCAGTTCTAGTTCAGTTCTAGTTCAGTTCTAGTTCAGTTCTAGTTCAGTTCTAGTTCAGTTCTAGTTCAGTTCTAGTTCAGTTCTAGTTCAGTTCTAGTTCAGTTCTAGTTCAGTTCTAGTTCAGTTCTAGTTCAGTTCTAGTTCAGTTCTAGTTCAGTTCTAGTTCAGTTCTAGTTCAGTTCTAGTTCAGTTCTAGTTCAGTTCTAGTTCAGTTCTAGTTCAGTTCTAGTTCAGTTCTAGTTCAGTTCTAGTTCAGTTCTAGTTCAGTTCTAGTTCTAGTTCAGTTCTAGTTCAGTTCTAGTTCAGTTCTAGTTCAGTTCTAGTTCAGTTCTAGTTCAGTTCTAGTTCAGTTCTAGTTCAGTTCTAGTTCAGTTCTAGTTCAGTTCTAGTTCAGTTCTAGTTCAGTTCTAGTTCAGTTCTAGTTCAGTTCTAGTTCAGTTCTAGTTCAGTTCTAGTTCAGTTCTAGTTCAGTTCTAGTTCAGTTCTAGTTCAGTTCTAGTTCAGTTCTAGTTCAGTTCTAGTTCAGTTCTAGTTCAGTTCTAGTTCAGTTCTAGTTCAGTTCTAGTTCAGTTCTAGTTCAGTTCTAGTTCAGTTCTAGTTCAGTTCTAGTTCAGTTCTAGTTCAGTTCTAGTTCAGTTCTAGTTCAGTTCTAGTTCAGTTCTAGTTCAGTTCTAGTTCAGTTCTAGTTCAGTTCTAGTTCAGTTCTAGTTCAGTTCTAGTTCAGTTCTAGTTCAGTTCTAGTTCAGTTCTAGTTCAGTTCTAGTTCAGTTCTAGTTCAGTTCTAGTTCAGTTCTAGTTCAGTTCTAGTTCAGTTCTAGTTCAGTTCTAGTTCAGTTCTAGTTCAGTTCTAGTTCAGTTCTAGTTCAGTTCTAGTTCAGTTCTAGTTCAATTCTAGTTCAGTTCTAGTTCAGTTCTAGTTCAGTTCTAGTTCAGTTCTAGTTCATTTCCCGTTCAGTTCTAGTTCAGTGTCTGAAAATCACTTTCACTAGTCTGTCAGTCCGAAGGTCCTGGGTGCGATTCACACTAGAGTCTCCGGAAAACGAGCTCATAACAGGTCCGATAGTGGTTCATAACAGGTCCGACTTCGGCTCTGATCTAACATAACTCCTCCTTTCAAACTAACTTTGTTTAATATGAACCTAATTTTTTTGATCCAATTTTAAAATTAAAAAAATCAATTCGTTCTCTACTGCATTAGTGGGTTATAATGTTTATGCCTAAAATATGAGTTGCATTACCATTTTCACACATATATAAAAACGCAATTACCTCAATTGCTTTTAAATTTGCCGTCCACAAAATAATTACAATTTCTTTAGCTACAACGCTTTGACAATAACATACAAACATACATTTATTTAATTTTCACTAAATTATTTACACACACATAAAGAAACATTCATACAATAAATATATTTACTTTAAATCATTGAAAAATGGCAAAAAATCTCCCATACTATCAGCATAGAAATCTGGCTGTGACTCTAAAGGTTTTGCCAACATATCCTCCATGGAATGAGCACCACTCAACACAAACAAAGTTTGAAAACCCAAATTGAGACCAAATTTAATATCCATATCCAAATTATCACCGACAAATAAAACGCGTTTCGGTTGATTAATATGGAAATGTTGTAATAGATATTGACCCAAAAAGTGACCAGGTTTACCAAATAATTGTATTTCTTTGTGACAAGTTTCAGCTAGGATTTTGATTACACCGGCAGGTCCTAATGTAGAGAAATTCTTCGATATGGGGATACTGTCATCGAAAGCTCCCACAATAAGTTGACAGTCTTTATGCATTAGATATTGTTGAGCCAATGCCAATTCGGTAAAGGTCATATTGACATGAATGTCAAAAATGACAGCGGCCACTTTATCGGTGGGTTTAATGAGAGCTGGGAGATCCTCTAGTTCAATGTTGGGGGGAGTTACCTAGAAAAATAAAATGAAATATAAATATCGCATGTAGTCTTAAAGTAATCCATAATTTTTATTTTTACATACCACCGTTTTAACATTGACACCATTTTCCCTGAGTGTTGAATTAAAAGCTTTAGAACCTAAAACCAAACAGGGCTGTTGTGGAAAGTTTTGATTTATGTGCTTAACAATGGCTTTAACGGGATAAACTAAATCTTCCTAAAATTAAAAATTTTTAAATTAATTTCTGAACTTTAGTGTTGTGATAATTTTTATGTTTTTACCTTGTTTACATTTTGTACTCCAGTTTCTTTAAATTTCTGTAAATACTGTTCATCGGTACGCATACTATTATTAGAGATAAATTTATATTTTTTCCCTTCATTTTTAAGTAAATTGATGGCTTGTCCTGCATTCGGTATACCCTCAAGTAGCATCCAAACAACTCCTGAAAATGAAAATAAATTGATATAGATTAGATTAGACTATTCAGAAAAGCAATCATTCCTACAGACTGATTCCACAGGCCAACGAAAGTAAGGTTTGTAAAAACTTTTAAAACTAATTTGACGAGATTTCATGTATATTTAGGTGCTAAACCAAATCTGATTTTGGTTTTTATCACCCAAAAATCTCTCGGACTATCCCAGCAAAAACTTCTATTGAAAAGTAATGAGTTAAAAAGCACGGTGCCTAGGCTGTAAGTTCGCTGTCTTAGTCGCAACACAACTAGCGCGGTATCAAATAAAATCTCATGTTTTCAACTGATTCCAAGAAGTTGTAACGAAACTAGTGTAGTAGCAAAGTATAACTAATTTCAAAGAACTAGTTCCTTGAAAACTATTTAGAAGTATTTAAGAACCACATTAATGTTCCGAGGAACGGGTTCCAGAAGTAATGGTGACACCACTAGTTCCAAGGTTATTGTTTAAGATTAAGTTCTAAAATTTTTCCTGCGAAATATTTTTTATATTAACTGTGACATATCTTGAGACGAATAAAAGCAAAACAACAAAAACATATATACAATCAATCTGTTCACTATGTAATGTCAAAAAATTTGTATGTTGTTTCGAAATTTTGGGCATATTTTCAAAACGTTTTATGTTAAAGGTCGAACAATTTATAAACTAAAATAAAAGTCTTAAATATTTTTTCATTATACCTAAATTTGTTTATTGGGTATAAATGCTGTAATTGTGTACATTACACTTGAATTTACACATGCTTGCAAATTGTATGAATAACACTGGTCTGCAATGAAATCCTATTTTAAGAAAAATTATAACAGAATTAAAGACATTAATATTCAAAATCTATATCTGCTTTTCATTCTTTTCCATCAAGTCGAGTTTTTGAAATATTAAAATTTATGCATTAACCCTTCTTTCATCCCATCACACTACAATTTTTTTTCAAAATATATGTCTTTGATGTCATATTATGAGGCCCTATAATTATAAAATTCATGAGGGTAATTAAGGCTAGTATAAAACTTGTTTTACAGCCTTTTGTCGAGATAGGAGTATATTTAACATAATTATGAACTTAAAAGTCCTATTCGGCGGGCTCAGTTGAATGGGGGCTAGGTGAAATAATGGACCGATGTTAACCATTTTAGATTATAGACTTCGCCTCCGGTACCATAGAAGATCATGTGCAAAATTTCATTGAATTATCTCCAAAATTACCATCTGTAGTTTGATTACAAGGTTTACAAGCCCTATTCTGGGGTTCAGTTGTATGGGGGCTAGGTGAAATAATGGACCGAACTTAACTATTTTCAATAGGCTTCATCCCTGGGATAATAGAATATCATGTTCCAAATTTCATTGAATTATCTTCAAAATTGCGACCTGTAGTTTGATTAAAAGGTTTACATGGACGGACGGACAGACGGAAGGACAGATGGACAGACAGACGGAAGGACGGACAGACGGACGGACAGATGGACATAGCTAAATCGACTCAGAAAATGATTCTAAACCGATTAGTATACCTACTTTAAGGTGGGTGTAGGAAAAATATTAATGTGTGTTACAAACATCAGCACAAACCCAATATACCCTCCCCACTAAAGTGGTGTAGGGTATAAATATATATTATATATTTCTTTGAATTAATGATGGGATTCACTTAAGGATGAAAAAATTAAAAAATATTACTAGAAACAGCAGCGCGCCAGGAGTTTAGATTATTTAAAATGGATATAGCTTAATAGTTCTACTTGCTAGATATGTATACTTTAAAATTAAATCTCGATTTAAGAGCACTTGGAGGAACGAAAAAAAATATTTTCTGCAGACCAGTGTAATTTATGTTGACAACATCTCTTATAAATAAAACCCACTTCCTCAAACAGCATGCCCAACAAATGTGTGCCGAAAGGATGAACAACAAAAATAAATAAGAAAATCAATAATTTTCCCACAACCGGCTAAAAAGTTGATTTTGACCTTTAAACGTCTTTTGGGTATAAATTACAGCTGATTGAATGCCAGCCATACATACTTGTGAAACCCACTGTACACAAGTGGATGACTAAATAAAGTGTGAGGAAATAAATTTCAATTTATTGTGTGTAATTTCTATTAGAATTGTTCTGTTAATAATTAGTAAATTTCACTGAACATTATAAGTGTTCTCACATTATTGATTGATGATGATATAAATAATGTTGTGGGTTTCTTTTCTGTTTTTTTGGCAGATATAATAAAATTTGATTATTTTGTATTTGGTTAAATGAATATATTAATTTTTTTGATGACTAGACACTTTTTTGGCTTTTGTGGATTTTAATTAACTAGACGGAAGTTTTTTGTTATTATTTCTCGGAATAATGTATATAATGTCTTTTAGAGAAAATTCTAAAAATAGTTTATTCAAATAATTGGTACGTGAGTTATTTTGTATTTTACAAAAATTTTCCATTTATTATTTTTATATTTGTTTTATTATTTAATTCATTTATTGGAACTATTTATGAATTTTTAGTGTAATTTGTTTTCAAACACTCACCATCACAATCTGATAAGATGGTATCGAATGAATCTAAAAACTTTTGTTTTTCCTGGGCAGTTAATTCCAGTATATGTCTGGGTTTTGTTGCTTTAATAGACATTTTAAGATTTTTTTTTCCTTAATTTAAACTTTGGATTTTTTTCACTATTAATATGCAAAAACTATTTGTTTGCAACTGTTTATTTTTTTATTACTTTTCGCCAGAGAACAACCGGCACGTCGTATGAATTAATTTAAACTAAATGTTTGTGTAGACAAAATTTGAGATTTAAATGTAGAGTTTTGTAGGGGGTGCTACTATTAGGTGGTTGGTATGTTCGGTTTAATAATAGGTATGATAAAAACATTATGAAAATAAAACCTTTTTTAAATATTAACTATAAATAACTTCGCTGCAGTACTTTTAAGTTTTCTAGATCTTACAGTAAATCATTTCCGTGCTAAACATTTTATAACAATGTTTAGTTTATTTTATAATTTTTGACTAAAAACCTGTAAAGCTGGTTAGTACTAGAACCAATAAAACATTTTAAATAATATTAAAATCTATTATCTATTTTCAAGTTTAAGTCAACATAAATCAAAGTATTACCTAAATTGTATAAATATTTTCCATTTCCTTATCAAAGCTCCACACACCCACATCCAAGAAACTTTTGCATTAAAAAAATTTCCAAAACTCTTATCTATAGCGCAGGCGTAGTTCAGTAGGGTATAACACATTCGACCTCTAAAAACGCCTTCACTCTTACGTCCAACTTGTTGTTGTTTTGTCAGCACAAAATAGCGTTTTTGTTTAGTTGGGTTTATCATTTGTTTACCCTTAAACAGTTGAGTATGGTTAGGTCCAACTAAAACATATGGTTAAAGTGACCGAACATAATATTTTAGCCATTATTTGTTTTATATGTTCTACTCTTTTCTGACGTCAATCGGGTAATGTTACATGAGTTGTTGTTGCTCATATGTATATGTATGTACATAAGAGAGAATAACTTTTGAGAAATTATTTTAACACGTGATAAATTTTGTTAGAAATTACTTAGAAATATTTACAAAGTATACTACTATTGCATTACTTTTCCCTTATACAATAAGGGGCATATTCACAAACATTTATCAAAGGTTTATATAACAAATTTTATATGAAAACTTGTTTTATAAACCTTTGATAAAAGTTTATGAATATGACCCTAAGAGTTTATATAAAATAACATTTTCTTAAATAATTTCCAATATTAGTTTAAAATTTCCAAAATTATTAATACATAATTATCAAATTTTACTAAATAATATTTTGCTTTGCAGCGTTATCTTTCACGTGGACGGCATCATTGTTCACGATCTTGATAGTCAATTAAAAACAAATGACTAAATTTAAAAACAATAAAAAAATAGCGTCATAATATAGAGCACAAATTTGTTTAAGTGTTTCACGTGTTAAAACTATGAACTATTTGAGAAATGTTTAAAATACAATTTCTTGAAAGTTCATAACTTTAAAGAATCCCATAATCCACTAAAAGGTTGATTCATCCTTTAACTCATAAAAAAACTAAGCAAGATAAATGCTTTTTAAAGTTTTTCGGAACTTCTTCCAATTCACCCCAACACCATATAAGGTATACGAGTGTAGCAATAAAATTCAAGCTAAACAAGACGATCCATATTGGATCCAAGCCGCCATATAAGATCACTTTAAATGCTCATAACTTGCTTAAAAAATCATGAATAGTAATGAAATTCAACATAAGTTTTGTAGGATCGAAAAATCCTCTTTAAAATTTTATGTGTATCGGTTCTCATACTTGTTATTTCTCAAGTTGTAATTTTCTTCTGTCCATCATTCATCAATCATAATCGATTACTTTATATATATGATTGAAAACTGATTATATGAAAAACAATAACAAAATGTATAGCAATCATAAATTGATCATCCTCATGTTTAAAATATGATGGTTTTAAAAACTTATTTTGCGATCATATTTCAAGCAGTTGTAAGATCTAAAATTGTTTTTTATGTAATTGGTTTTGTTTGCAATGGAACAGCAACACTTACAGTTAAAAATTACTCAAAAAGGAGTCGAAACTGATTAGATAAGGGGCTCAGAAAAGACTCTTTTCGAAGAGATGGCCAAAAACTGTGTGTGGCCTATAAAGAGTTTATATAATTCTCATTTCGTTTATAAAATTAAATGTATAAGTATTTGAATTTGTGTGATATATAAGAAACCGATTTTTTGTCAAGGAAATTAAAATTACGTTACATTGCTTTAATTATAATATCTTAGTAGGTAATGAACTTTTACGGAAAATAGTTGGGTGACTAATCACTAAACTAAGTATAAATAATTAAAATTTATATTTAAACAAGTAAGAAATTATAGTCGGGCGAGGCCGACCATATAATACCCTACACCTGTTACAAAAATAAAATGTGATTTTGTTTTCATAATAAAGCATTGTAGTTGAATTGTACATTGCCTCAGATATACTTAAGCCATTTATTGTTGAATAAAATTGTGGACATTTAAGTCAAATTTTGAAGGGGGCTTTGTATAGGTGCTATTACAAGGTTTACAAGCCCTATTCCGGGGTTCAGTTGTATGGGGGCTAGGTGAAATAATGGACCGATCTTAACCATTTTCAATAGGCTTCGTCTCTGGAACAATATTTCATTGAATTATCTTCAAAATTGCGACCTGTAGTTTGATTACAAGGTTTACAAGCCCTATTCAGGGGTTCAATTGTATGGGGGCTAGGTGAAATAATGGACCGATGTTAACCATTTTCAATAGGCTTTATCTCATTTCATTTCATTGAATTATCTCGAAAATTACCATCTGTAGTTTGATTACAAGGTTTACAAGCCCTATTCCGGGATTCAGTTGTATGGAGGCTAGGTGAAATAATGGACCGATCTTAACCATTTTCAATAGGCTTCATCCCCGGGACAATAGAAGATCATGTACCAAATTTCATTGAATTATCTTCAAAACTGCGACCTGTAGTTTGATTACAAGGTTTACATGGACGGACGGACATAGCTAAATCGACTCAGAAAATGATTCTAAGCCGATTGGTATACTTTAAGGTGGGTAAAGGACCAATATTATTGTGCGTTACAAACATCAGCACAAACCCAATATACCCTCCCCACTAAAGTGGTGTAGGGTACAAAAATATTTGAAAAAAAATAACAAAATGTACAGCAATCACAAATAAGTCATCTAGGTGTTCAAAATATGATTGTTTATAAATTTATTTTGTAGTTATATTTCGCGCAGTCGGAAGATCAAAAACTGTTTTCTGTTGTATTGAAACAAACATACGTATTACTCAAAAAATACTCAAAAATTACTATAATATGATTCGAAAATAACTCTAAAAATTCGGCTCATGACACAAAAAAGATTATAAAAACAGTCAAAACTGATCAAAAGTTGGGCTCATAAAAGACTCGTTTGGAGAGTCGCGGTAAGGGTACCATTTTCTCCCGACTAATGTATCATTTATGATCAGAATATGAATATATCAGTTATGATCATTTTAATCGTGCAGAAGAGTTATAAATGACTCGAATGTAATAAAAAAATTAAAAAAAATGCAAGCTGGTTTTTTTCAAATGCACTTTTACTCAAAAATTCAACAAATTGTGGCTAAATTGGGGCAGGAGGTGAAATTTAGATGATTATACGATTTTAATACGTTCTAAGTAAGAGTCTTGATAGATGCAAAACTATCAACGTAGTAATTATAATGGATATCTCGAGATTTAACGAGATTTTAATATGGAAGATTATGCAGTTACAATCAGCAAAATCGGTCCATACATAATGGAATATAATTTAAAATCTGAGATAACGCATGATTTTTCTAAAATTTTTAAGGTATTTAAACTGATATATTCGGAATGAATAACACAGGGCTTCCATAGAACCATACAAAATGATAGATATACATCTTAATTGGTATTGTTATGACTTAAAAACTACAAACAAAATCTAGATTTTTATTAAAAAAATAAACAAAAACATTTTAATAATAAACATTAATTTGTATTCACTAGATTATAGCTATACAGCGGCAGTTTTTTTACTCAAATTTTTTTTCAAGGCTTCTAGTTTAATTTAGATTATAAATAATTTTTGTTTATCACACTATCTAACTTGGCAACTTAAAAACAACACATATACTCATTGAAATTTATTGCTTTCATAACTTCAACTTACCCACTGTGCAATGTGACGCCAAATAAACAAAACAAACAATTATTATATGAATCAGATGAGAAGAAAAAAACTACTCACTGCTTTATTAGACCAAACAAATAAGCAAAACATTGACAATGATCTTGTTAAGTGACATTAAATACAAAAATAAATATAAATACAATTTACAATACAAAAATACAAAAATACTTATAAATAAAATTTGATATCCAAAAAGGAAATAATACTGCAAACAAATTACTTATACATATTTTTAGTGATAAAGAATTTTTAATTTGCATTCAGACATTTTTATCATATTTTCCCTCTGTTGAACATGCAGTTTAAGTAATTTGAAAAATGATATAGAGATTTTACTATTGACTTTTGCTTACATGCATAATTGAGTGTAGTTTTTCTAATAATAAATAAAATGTTCATGTGTTTTAAGATAAGAAGATAAGCATGTATGTATGGAGGCATTCAGGAAAAAAACAATTGAATATGTATAATTAAAGATTCTGAAAAAAAACTTCAGGATAATACAGAAATCATTATTTTGAATACATTTAGCCGTTTCGTTATAGGCTTATTTTGCGTCATATCTTTGATCAAGACTAACCACCATTGAATTTCCACAAAATTTCATTCCAGTTCATAATTTTGCTCTAAAGCCAATAACTTTTCATATTCTATAATAAATTCACGTAACAAATAGTTTTCACGATCTATACGTTTTTGTAAATCTCGTGAGACATCAGGTATAGACCAGGATATGATATTTTGAATTAAACCTATAAAATTCTAAAACAAGCTACAATTTAGAAAAAAAAAACTTTAAAAATAATTCAATATTTTTCACCAACCTGATACAAAACAATAAACACTAATTTTGCCGCCAAAATTTGCCAATATATCATAGGCCTTTCAAAAGGCCTCTGCGACGAAGGAGGATTACGAAAATCCCAATATCTACACACCTCCACATTTAAGTATTCCGATGAATTAGTTAATAAAGGT